TATTTTGAAGGTAAGGTGGAATTATTTCTATACTTCGTACGAAGCTTAAAATTAGGAAGTTTGTCAGCCTGTGTAGGTGTGTGGATGTATATGCTTATCTCCTTCCGATTAATTTTACCCGCAGAAAAAACCCTCTATATACCCCTCTTCAATAGAGATACAACCATGGCCTAATTGGCTATCTGACCAAGGATCCTAACGTCCTATCTGCATATTTCTATCCTACATTAAGATCTATCAGATTGTTAGGTCTCTGCCCTATTTCCTTGCTGTCTAAATCTCTGTAAATCGTATATTTAAACGCTCGTTTATACCACTATTTAGCTAGTAGTTTAATCGACTTTATTATTTTTAAGACCTTCTTTCCCTTCGTAGATAGTAGGATCCTATAACTAAGAGGAAGCTACTACCTAGTCCCCTTTTGTCCTATGTAGATTAGCCCCTAATTGTTAAGAAGTATCTACTTTATAGGGTAGAAGGCCTATTAACTAGGTAAGAGAGGGAAGCACCAAGTCAGATTGAGACAAAGACTGTTTCTTAAGGAAGATAAATCCCACTTCCTTAAACATCTGTTTAAATACATCATTTTTTGTGCAAATAGGAATTAAACACGAAGTAAGGGGGAAACCATAGTGAAAGGCCACCGCATAGCTAACGTATAGTATATACTATAGGCGTAGCCTATATATAGCGTAGCTATCGCGTATCGCGGCCGAGGGGCTACCGACTAACCGCCGGATAGCTACCGCCTTAGTGGAACCCTCGGTCTACGTATACCTAAGGCCCTAATATTAGTATATAAATAGTCTTATCGAAATATCATAATAATTATCCCCCCTCTAAGGACTCTCTCGCCCTCGAGAGAAATCGATATATAGAAAATAAATAAACGCCTAAAAGGGGACGTATTAGTTAAAATAGAACTAAACGTAGTAAATATAGTAAATATATAGGCGAGTAAATAAAGATAATACACTTCCTTTATTAATGTTAGTAACGCTTCTTCTCCTCCTTATTTCTTATCCTCTTCTTCTTCTACCTCTCTCGCTTATTAGCTTCATTTATATTAACGCGCCTTTTCGTCCTCGAATCCCTATCTATATCTCGCCGAAAACCTTACGATACCGCCGCGAATCCGGCCTCTCCTAGAGAATCCTATTATTATAGGGAATCTCTAGTGTATATACTATCTTCGGACCGCGCTCGCTAAGTAGGACCCTACTAATAACGACTAGCCTATCTAGATTAAATACGTCCGCGATACTAAAGCCTCGATAATATATCGGTAGTATTCCGCTTATAATACTTTATACTTTCCGGTAGGTTTCGCTAAATCTTCTTAAAAGGATAATACTAACGGCTATAGGTTATAACTACTATAATAGGAGATAGCTACGACCTAGCTATTATCCTTTTATAGATACGTGAAATATTTTAGGTAGGATAGATAGACCTAAGTAGACTGCGGCAACATCCTCAATATCCATGGATATCCGTATATCCTCTCCGCAAACTATGGATATGGTATGTCACCGAACATCCTTAATCCTCAAATTTATGGATATGGTATAGCACCCGATATCCTCTGGATATTTAAGGATATCTAGTGGATATCAAAGATGCTAAATATGCCTAGCCTCGTGACCTTTTTGAGTATATATTACTTATGCGGACTCCTTTATATTTTTTAAGTAATTATAGTGTAATAATTAATTATCGAAGGTTTTAATTTCGTAGATATAATATTATTATCTTCACACTATATAGTCTATCTTAAATCAATCTGAAATCCGTTAGGTAACCTTAGTTGCTTCCGAATCCGCCCCGACCGTCCTTATATACCTTTATGTATTAGTATTTCTGGAAGGCTATTATTATCGTTATTAAATGCCTTAGATAATCGTCTCTTTGATCGTTTACACTGTAGTTACTTACTTATATTAGCCCTCCTATTATCTAAATTCTTATCGTAGCTTTCTATTAGTTATATATCCTTAATGCTAAGCTCTTAATCTTCCTCTTCGTTGTTACTAATTAGCTTAAGAGTTTTAAGTTAGGGTATTAGTTTCCGAGCTTAATCTAATAATGCGGCTTCCCCGGTAGAAAGATTGTTATGATATTTCGATGAGACTATTCACACACTGATATTGGGGCCTCAGGCATGCTTGGACCGAGGGTTCTGCCAAGGCGGTAGCCATCCGGCGGTCAGTCGGTGGCCCCTCGGCCGCGATACGCGACAGCCACGCTGCATGCAGGCCGCACCCACAGTATGTGCCATGCGTTGGCCATGCGGTGGCCTTTCGCCATGGTTTCCCCCTTACTTCGTGTTTGATTCCTGTTTGCACAAAAGATGATGTATTTAAACAGATGCTTGAGGAAGTGGGATTCATCTTCCTCAAGAAACAGTCTTTGTCTCAATCTGACTTGGTGCTTTCCTCTCCTACCTAGTTGACAGGCCATCTACCCTGTAAAGTAGATACTTCCTTAACACTAAATTACTGTATAATTATATGTATATTACGAATACCCCGCGTAGGCGGGTTTAGGCGGGCAGGTTTGGATAGTGGGCGGATAACCCCCTATCCTGTCCGCCTATGGATATTAGTGGACTATCCAAACCCGCCCAGTGGGCAGGTTTGGGCAGCTTTGGACAGTCTATGCGTGGACTCTGCCGAGGCCTAGACAGGATCCATATAGAACCTTAGGATGACTAATCAAGATAGAAGTTCTTCTTCTTGCGAATAGGACTATAGATCGTTAAGGGTCCTCTGATGCATAAGATCTTCTCTAAGTATGAAAGAGTCAAACGAGATATCCGATCAAAGAGAGTATTGATTCTAAAGGAAAGGATATTAAAGTCTTCTCTCAATATTGAATCTCTGAGGATATTGAATCTGAACTGCTAAACTAGTGAACGAATGGATGTTTAAATACATGATTAGGACAGTTTAGACAGTTGAATCTAGACCGAATCGTTGATCTAATCGATGATCCGATCATATATCAATAATACGATTATATATCGATGATCTAATGAATCGATGCATTAGGAAGTTATTGGATGTTAGTATCCGTGGCTAGATTGGCCGATTTCTCATATGAAACTCTCTGTTAAAGAGATATGGTTTTTCCCCGGAGAAAGGATAGGAAAAACGATAGTCCGGTCCGGGCCGTTAGCCAGCGGGCCGCACGGTCAACCAACTTCATATAGCCACACACGCTCACATAGGCTGACAGATCTAAATCCTTATATTCTAGACTTACTGGATCCACTAATAACTATAGCGCTACTTCTACTATCTTATAATATAGGCTAGTAGTATCTATATCTCTAGTAATACATATATAATAAGGAAGCGACCGTCTATCTTATTTAAGAAACTATTTAACTCCTCTAACTTACGAAGATAAATAAAAGGGCTATTATAACGCTAACTATAGCTAGATCGATCCTAGCCGTAAGTATTAGGCCGAGTTAGATAAGAAATAAGCTTTAATAAAGATAATTAGTAAGATCTAAGATTATAATAAAAGAATCTAAGGAGATACTATATATAAATATCTCTATAATTATAAGAATTACTTCTAAATAATAGCCGAATTCTTCTCTACTAAGTTAACTAAATAGAAAAAGATTATATATATTAATAGTACCCTAACTAGAGCGGCCCTAAAAGGCTAGTATAGCTATAAATACTAGGCTATAAATAACTACGAAATAGCTATAATAATATAATTGTTACGAGGCAGACCGTCAGAAACCCGCGGGGGGCAGCGACAGCCAACTAAGCCCTTAAGAACGGGAACACCTACATAAGTCACGTGCAACTAATGAGACGCATTACATATGTGCTTCCCAGGAGTAGGTTTACATACAAAAAGGGCTCCCAGGAGCAAAGTGGGTTAGTATAAGAGGGTATCTTACACGATCATGCTCAGTGATCACTCGGGGTGATTAAGGACACTGTGTCCTTATGGCGGACTTTGTCCTGTGTGTGTATTTACATATATACTAGGAAAGTTCCGGCACGACGGACTACTCGATTAGGTAACCACGTGACTAATCCTATCGGAGGATGGGGCGTATCCCACTATGGGATGGGGTACATCCTACGATAGGACGGGACGACTTATCGCCGGATAGGAAGGACTAGATATATAAGGATATTTATTTAGCATTATGTATTTAGTTCTTCGCGATTAATTGTATATTGTTACTTAGTTACTACCTTTAGTACTTTGCACTTTATAGTTTACCTTTAAGACAACCTAACCTATAAGTAGAGGATTCACTTAGTAGTAATACTTAGTGATTAACTTACTTAGCGCGTACTTCTGGCACGTTCTGTAAGATACTTAATAGGATCTATCCCGTAGTAAGGCCTTACGAGGTAACGGTACGATTAAGAGATACTCTTAGAATTCGAAGTTATGCCGAGAGGGCCGGACTTAGCCGTAATAGTATATATCGTTATTATACTCGATTATAATAACGACTTAGGTAACTATCGCCCTTTCTACACTTACTTATAGTGACTAGTTAGCTACGCGTAATATATTAATCGCCCTATCTTTAAACCGTAAAGTAAAGTTATTATAGTAGGTAACGACAGCACTAATAGTAACGTATCCTCGAGTAGGAGGCCCCTAGTGACCCTTAAGGAACTTATGGATATAGTGACCTAGCTCTAGGAGTATATCGCTACCTTAGAAGCTAGATAATCTCGAAGATCTATAAAACTCCCGAAACCGGAGTTCTTTAAAGGAGGCCGATCTAAGCTTCGTAGCTTCCTTATATAGATAGAAATANGATTGCGCTTCCTCTTACAGGGTTGCTGAAAGGAAGCAAGAATGGGCGGAAACCGGGACAGGTCAACCTGACCCTTGCCGAAAGGTTGGCGTTTCGCCGCCTAATCTCCGCCTTCCAATCAGCTCCTCTGTTGAGACACTTTGACCCATCTAAGCCAATTCGGCTAGAAACTGATGCGTCTAACGGCGCGATGGCGGGAATCCTTTCCCAGCCAGACGATGCGGGTGTGTGGCACCCAGTAGCTTTCTGGTCGCGGAAGTTCTCTGGGGCAGAGATCCTCTATGGGACACCGGATCAGGAGCTATTCGCTATCGTATATTCGTTTAAACACTGGCGACACTACCTTGAAGGCAGTGCCCATCCAATTGAGGTCTTTTCAGACCATGCAAATCTGCAAACTTTTATGAAGCAGCCAAAGCTTAGCGGCAGGCAAGCTAGATGGTGTCTTTCTCTTACACCTTTCAATTTTGTGATAAAACACCGCGCTGGAACAAAGAATCCCGCGGATGGACCCTCTCGGCGATGGCTACCGAGTGACTATGAGGTTGACCTACTTTCGCCGCTACGCCAGCGATTGGCAGGCGAATGGCCGGCGACTGATCACCGCTGTGCAGGGGTCCAGTCGTACACTGTGAGAGATCTCACCTCCGATATTCTATACTTCACGAAATATGAAGATAGAGAAGAATCAACGGAAATGGTTGATTGGGAAGAGCTTGGCCGAAGTTGCCGCCTCCCTGAAGCACAGGTGCAGCCTGCTTGTGCCTCCGAGACAGCCTACTCATGTGACTTGAGTAAAGGGCTTAAGGAGCTTATTGGGCAACTCCAGGACGGAGACCCAGAGACCCAGCGCCGAAAGACTGCCGTAACGCAGGCGAACCACGGGTTCAAGGGCTGGTCAGTAGGGTGCGATGCCCTACTAAGATTCAAAGAACGAATCTATATTCCTGCGGGAAGCAACCTTAGAACAAGATTGTTAAGCATTCATCATGATGATCCCCTTGCTGGCCACTTTGGTCGCTCTCGTACCCTTGAACTGATAAAAAGGAAATATCACTGGCCGAATCTAGACCGAGACGTTGCCGAATACGTGCAGGATTGCCAGGTGTGCCAAGGTGTCACTGCAAGAAGGCATAAGCCTTACGGAGAACTCCANAACTAACCTCCTACCTATAGAGGCACTACGAGAACTTAACGATATACTTAAGAAGCTTTAAGGAGTAAGTAGCGGGATACGCGAATAATAGTAATGCCCCTACTATAGTAACGAATATTTGTGTAGAGGATACGTACGCTACCCTAATCACGGTCTTAGAACCGTATTAGCGTGTTATGACGATAACTATATAATATATTACTAAGGAAAAATCGAAAGAAGCCTAGAACCAAAGCCGCTACGCTAGGAAAAGAAACTAAACTAGAAACTAGAATACGTAGGACTCTAGTTCGGGAACCGGAGGATAAACGAACAATACCTCGTAGCTACTATATAGGGCGCGTACGTAAAGATTTTTGCTAATATCGCACTTCGATCGACTAAAGTGATAATCGACTCGGGAGCGGTAGGAAACTTTATAAGCCTACGATATAAACGGTAATATAAGATTAAAGATATAGAGAAACCACGAATAGTACCTTTGATCGGGCTTAACGGAGAGAGCCTAGGGCCGGGTATTATATACGAGAGTGGACTACTACTAATGGTTATTAGAGATTATTTCGAAGTTATTAACTTCGATATTACCCCACTAGGTATATACGACGTTATACTAGGAGTACTATAGCTAAGGAAGCATAACCTAGCTATCGACTAGTAGGTTAGGAATATAGTCTTCGATAGATACTCGTATCGATAGACTAGCGAAGTGTAGACTAGAAAGATCGAGCCGATACCGCTAAAGAGACCTAGCACCGGGGAAGTAGGTACTTATAAGATCCCGTACGAAGGAAATTACGAAAGGAGTTCTCGGCTAGGAGGTAGGCCTAATAAACGAGT